AAAATAAATTACATATAACAGGAAATAATTATAGAGAAATAGAAACGAATTATAAAAATAAGGACCAATTTTCTTATTCCGATATAAAAAACAAATATAATAAAATATTTAAATAATAAATATATATATTTTATATTTTTTTCATTCAAGATAATTTTTTTCGATACTACCGAAGAAACTTCCAATACGTCTACCCTGCCTTACACACCCGAGAATACACTAATAAAATGTATCTCTAAACATCAACAATTAATAAATTAATTTGCTTCAAATAAAATAATATAAAATATAAAATAAACATATTCAATATATTTTATATATATTAAATAATAAAAACAAATAAAAATAAACTATAATCACTATAAAATACAATTCCATAACTCTATATATCTATAAATCATACTCGGATTTTTTTTAAAAAAATAATAACCTTTCCTTACCTAAAATTAAAATAATTTCCTCGAACCGAAAAATAATAAAAACAAAACAAATGTTCCTCAATCTCTTTTCCTTTCTTTCTTTTTCTCTATTTTTCTTTATTTTTTTTTGTTTCTTTTCTTTTCTTTTTATTAATTCTATTTTTTTTTTTCATTATTCCTTTACTTTCCTATTTATTTTTGTTTTTTAATTTTTATTTATTTATATCATTATTACATATACCCAATTTTTTAAAATCATATATTTGTATATAAACAAAAAATCAAATTAATAATAAAGTACATAAAATCCATTCATATATTCTTATTAAAAAATCTATATATAACAAATCAATTCATTTATATATAAAAAACCAATACATATATATATATTTATCCAATTAAAAATATATATATACAAATATCTATATCCTTAAAATATTTAAATACATTTCATAAATATATTATATAAACACCATATACCAATAAACAAATCTAAACTATATATATATATATATTACAAAAAACCATAACGATTTATAATAGTGCCAATTAACAAAAACCAAATAACAATAACTAAATGTAACCAAACATAAAAATAAACAAAAATTAAACAAATATATATAATAACAAACACAAGCCACTATATAACAACAATAATAATAAAACATATACAAAACTAAATAACAATTCTCATATTTTGTTAAATACATATTAACCTTCCTAAAATTATCATCCATCAAAATAAACATTTTTTTCCAAATCTTTAAACCAATCCTTACACCCCTCTTTAAACCCTATATTTTTTATTTAAAACCCTATATTTTCAAACGAAAACCAAAACAACGACAAACAAACAAACAAAAACACCCAGACAAACAAAAACACATAAACAAACACACAAACAGCAAGGCAAACGAAACATAGAAGCAAAGAGACAAAAATGGAGAGAGACAGAGAGAAAGAGAAAGAAAGAGAAAGAAAGAGAAAGAAAGAGAAAGAAAGAGAAAGAAAGAGAAAGAAAGAGAAAGAAAGAGAAAGAAAGAGAAAGAAAGAGAAAGAAAGAGAAAGAAAGACATAGAGACACAAAAGAACACAAAAAGACAGCCACACAAAGACACAGAAACACAGAGACGCACAAAACCGAAAGAAGCAGAGAGACCGAAAGAAGCAAAGAGACAGAGCGACAGAAAGAAAGAAAGGAAAGAGAGAAAGAAGATCTGAGCGATCCAAAATTTAAGCAAAATTTCCGCACGCCGCAAACACGACGGTTCGACGATTTGGCCGGAGAACCACGACGGCTCTGCGGCGCACGCGAAATGCGACCCCGAGGAGCCGCTTGTGCGGCGGCATGGCAAAGAAAGCCGAGTTTAGCAGGATGTAAACACCACGCGCCCGGCGCGACATTTTCCGGAAATGTCGCCTCGACAAGTCCCCGTTCCCGAATATTTGGCCCGGTATTTTTTTTGGAAAGCCGCAAAATTGTGAATTTGCGGGGGTTACGTCCGGCGATCTGAGAGCCGGGTCGCCGGAAGCGACCCAAAATTCGGGGAAAAATTGGCCGGGTTATGCCACGAGAACTCTGAGCCCCTAAATTTCGGCAAACATTCGGGGGCTTCCAGGCCGCACGAAAAGGCCGAGGACCGGGACGGGCACAGCCACCGCCGCAAGCACAACGATTTGGTCGGGGTGCCGCTGCAGCGGCTCCCCGGCGCACAGGAAATGCAACCTCTCAAGGCCGTCCGTTTTTTTTTTTGGGAGAATATGTATACCATACCTCGATATCTTTGTCTGAAACTGCTCTTTGCTTTTTCTCATCTCCTCCTCCGGCTACGGCTGCCCCTGAGCAGGCCACACAACCAAGTAACCGACCAACACACGTTTAAGGGGCATGGCAAAAAGGCGAAACGGGACTTTCAGGACACCTTGAATCACGCCAAACTTGGTGGCGAACCGCAAGCAGATCGCCTTTGCAAACTGTATTTGGAGAAGGTAAGCCTTCATCATGATATCTTCAAAGAAAATGTGCATAAGGAGTGAGAGTCAAAAGCGAAGCTGCGCTAGAGGCTCTCAGCTGGACCGACCTGCAAACGCACCCAGCCTGGAACGGGAGGAGCTTCGCCCGCGACCTGCGCAGCAGTGCGGACATCTTGAGCACTTGTCGCTGAATAGTTTTTGGCAAGAAGCTAACTCAAGGGACAAAACAGCTGGAACGATTGGTTCTGCGGATGTTTGGGCATCGGAGCTGCGAGTTTGGGCCGCCTATTGGGTCAACGCCATTCAAACTCGTCTGAGACTTAGAGGCGCGTGTGGCCACACAGCGTGTAGGTCGCGCTATGTGGCCAGCCGGTACAAGCCTGCGGCGGTGCGACCGGGCACCGACGACTTTGTCGTCCGCAAACCGTCCTAAAAGTCGTTTCTCTTCCTTTTTTCCTTCTGTGTTTGTTATCCACTTCACCCGCCCTGCAGGTCATGACCGCCGTACACATCTCTTCCGGTAGACAACATCCTGGACGAAGCTGGCGCCCCGCGCAAAGCTGCGTACGATATATTTGGATACGATCAATGCGGGGCACTGAGTGCTTGCACCCCCGTTTTTTTGGCAACGCCTCTAGTCGGTGGTTTTCCACCAGGCAAAAATGGGACCCAGAAAAGGGCGCTGCGCCAGAAACGAGTGCTGGCCACGGCTTTGGCTAGGTCAAGGAGGAACCCCGGCGCCTCGTTTGTAAAGACCGTGCGCTGATGAGCTTAGAGCTCCCAGCACAAAGTATCGCAGCTCAGAAGAAGACCCGAAAGCGCTTTGCACACATTGGGGCCTCGATCAGGCTGACGGATGGCGTGCCTGAATCAAGCTGCTCGCTGTCTCTCCGCCATGGCAAGAGGCACCAGAAGACTGGCGTCCTCCATGACACGCAGCCTGAACCGGTCCATGTTTTCCAACTATGGATTTCACTGTCTGCCCTGCGCGTGCCTCTATGAACTTCATCTGTGCTTGCCCTACCTTCAGTCTCTACTTGCCCTTCGCGTGCCTCTCTACTCTACTTTCCCTGCGCATGCCTCCATGCAGTTCGACAACACCGATCCCCGCAGGCACAAAATCCTGGACCACGCCGATCCCCGCAGAGAGTCGCGCGCGCGCCTCGAGATTTGCAGAAACCCTCAGTTTTTTGCACCTTGACCACGCCGATCCCCGCAGGGTCGCGTGCGTCACGATTGCGCCGATCCCTGAGTGGGTCTCATTTTTGCAGAGCGCGCTTGGTCCCACCGCGCCGCCTTGAGACATATTTTTCTTTTAAAAGCGTGCAAGCTTCCTCGCGCAAGTTATTCTTGCGCGAGAAGGAATGCAAGATCGCCACGCATTTCAGTGTGGACTTTCCGTATGCGTGCCTCCATGCAGTTCACTGTCTACTTTCCCTGCGCATGCCTCTATGCATTTCACTGTCTACTTTCCCAGTGCATGCATCTATGCGTTTCACTCTGTGCTTGCCCTATACATTTCACTGTCTGCTCTCCCTGCGCATGCCCTCTGCATGCATCTATGCATTTCGCCCTGTGCTTGCCCTGTACTCTCCCTGCGCATGCCTCTAAGAATTTCACCGTGTACCTTCCCTACGCAGAAGAACGCAACGACTTTACCGGAAGATCCCTGCTTTCGGAAAAAATGGGACGCAGGTCCCCTCGCTTGAACCTGAGGAGATCTATCACTGCGGCGCGTTCCAGCACGTGTGCGCAAAAGTCACAAGCAAGTGCCTGCGATCAAGGCTAAGAGGGGTTCCTGTCAGGTCAAACTCTGACTGGCAAGTGCAGCCCCAAGAAGCCAGGGGTCCGATTCCCCTTCCCCAGAGCTGGGCCTCAACACAGCTACAAAGTTCCCTGAGCCCTCTACACATGCTGGCCCGAGTCTGAAAGAATCAAAGATGAGTTCACCCCACAGAAATGAACTGCGTGCTAGTTACAAAGGAAGGAGAGGCGCCGATTTCCATGACAACTATGGGTATGCAAAGGACCTGGCACTTGGACCTTTGCGGCAGGTGGCATGGCAGTGCCTTGTGGCCGCAAATGCAAAGCTCGAGCTAATGGCGCTTGGATCAAGAACATGGTGAACTGCTTAGTTACCGGCCCTCAAGCAGCTTGCGTTCGCATGAAATAGCATTGCTCTCTTAGGCAAACAGGCCCGTAAAGAAGCGTAGTGGTCTTGACTGGTCGGACAAGCACAAACACTGCCTCGCGGGCGGCGGCTGCTGCTGCTACTGCTGCTCCGCTTTCGACTACGGCTCCTTGGCAAGCTCTCTCGACAAACACGGTCTAAACCGGGAAAACATCAACCTTTGCCCGTCAAACTGTTTTGATCACTGCTAGCTAGCCAAAACAACTCTTGAGTGGTTGGATCATTGCTTGTGTGGCTTTTGAACCATGAGAATTTGCAGCTTGCCATTCTGAGAAACTTCAACCTTGAGGATTTGTCACTGGTGATGTGGCTGAGCAACTCAAGAGCACATCGTGTTGCCTGATCCACCGATTCGGCGCTAAAAAAGTGCTGCGCAGAGCCAAGGCCATCATAAGGCAATCAAGGCATGCCTCTATCTTGGTTGGACAAGCGCCGGGCTCAGAAACACCCACCCCTGCTGGATAATGTCATTCAGTTTGAACATGCAATTGAATCTTGAACCGCAGTGCTAGCGCTGTGCTATCGCTGCGCTGTTCTTGAGGCCCAATTTTTGGATTGCGGTCTTCCCCCCGCCTCTTCTCCAAGGCTTGCCGCAGCTTCTGCCGTCCAGGCTCCCAACAGCCAATGCCTTCGCCCCTGAGCTGGGGTCATGGGGTTCGGCGTCTCTGCAGTGGAGGGCAGTTTTCAAAAAGGCGCAGGGCTTGCAATGAACTTGAGCTTGGTTTTGACAAGAGTGGTATAAAGTATTCCAATAGCAACAAGAGCCTCAACCATTTGGCCCTCTTCACGAAAGGTCTTCGCCTAAAAAAGTCGAAGCAGTCGGCCGCCTCTTGCCGAAACATTTACGGAAGCAAACTGGCCGCTGGCCTCTTCACCTGCTCCAGAATCGCTGCCCGGCTTGCGGCAGGAAGACTCCTGCGGCCAAGATGTCGCCTTTCACAAATGAAAAGCCACCAGACATGCCTGGCAAGGCTCTGGACACGCTGCGTGATGCTCTTGAAGAGCTTCTGAAAGAGTGCAGGGCCCACGTCCTTGGAGTGCAACGGGTCCCAGAACGAACAGCGGAGCGCGATAGAGCACGCAAAGCAATGATTCAAACCGGGGAAAAACTTCCTTGAATCGACGTGGCGCAACTTTGCTCCTGGCGAATCTTGCAAACTAACCTGCTGGCAGATAGCTCTTTTGCTGAAGTCAAGGTTCCAACCTCGTGAGGCCACATGCGGCAGGAAGAAACTTCATTGCCTTCCTGGCATATTTAGAAGTACTTGTCGGACGCGGCCTCTGGAAGGAACCGGGAATTGTGAAGGGCGTTCTTCCCCATTTGTTTTTGATCGAATTGCCTCGTTTGGGCAGCGTTTCAATTTGTGTTGTTGGGCGCATGCGGTAACTCTGACAGCGTCTTTGGCGCCTCCGCGGCCAAGGGGCAGCAGTGATTGGCTCCAAGACTTGCGCCAGCTTAGCAACCTACGCGTGCGAAGGGAAGCTTGAAAGCGCCGCCGGCGAAACACAAAACACTGGGTACAGTTGCGGCCAGACCTGGGGAAATCATCTCTGGGAACCAAGCAAAAGGAGCCCATATCATGGACAGAAGTGAGAGTGATCTTAGGGTTGAAACTTTAGCGCGGCAACGGCGTGGGTCATTTCACGTTGTCCCAAAACATTCATAGACTTTTGGCAAATGTCAGGTCTTTGCAATCGCAGGAGTCCAGCCCGTTAAGATGAAGTCAAACTCAACCCTATCCACCGGCCCTTTTGTTTGGGAAACTCACTGCGGAAGAGAGACTAGCAACGCGGGCAGGGCGAGGTGTCCCATTCCGAGAATATGATTCTGATATGCTCTGCTCATGTGCAACAAACCGCGGGGCAATGTGAACACTGTGCCCTTCCTCCTGCGCCCCTGCCTGGTCTCCCGAGAGCGACTGGCCCCTCTCCATTTCCTTTCGGCGCTTGGACACGTTGTCCGAGGACGTTGCCTCCTCGGACAGCACCTGGCCAACAATTAACAGCCAAAGCCCTGGCTTCTCAGATTCTTTCCAGCGCATGTACATGTGCAAGGCGCCCTCCTGTGGGCAAAACCCGGTGGAACATCGATGATGCCTGGTGCCAGGGTGTCGGCAAGCAATCGTCACATGAACACAACATGCTTTTAAGCAAACACAGACACACACACATATCAATTGCAAGAACCTTGTTTTCCTAAGCTGACTCAAGCCGGCTACAGTGTCGTTGTGGCGTGAGACAATTTGACTCCGCTTCACGCTCTGCATGTTGAGCAGTCTTTGCAGGGCGGATACGCCTGTACATGTTTCCTATTCTTGACGTGCTTGCGCTGCTACTTATGGTAGCATGTGCCATGCGGGGCTATGTGCACTGTCCCTTCAGTTGACGGTGTCCTGCGCGCAGTTGCCATAGGGCTCGTCGTGTTTTCCTTCTTCTTCCGGCAAAATTTCCTGTCCACCACGATGGCGACGCCAGTGGTCATCACATTGATGATCAAGAGAACCATCAGGTAACTAAACGCGTCCATGTTGTTTGCGTGGTAGCTGAACTTCAGGGTGATACCGTCATACAGCGCAACCAAATCGGTGCTCTCTGTGGAAGAAGCATGTTCCGAGATATGCCGGCAAGGGCCCAGTGCACAGGATGTGCAGCGGTCTTCACCTTTTTCTCAAGCACTTTGTCGCCCTGCAGAAGGTTGTTTCTCGATGTTGATTTCTGGCAACCGCTTCATCTAAGCTGATGGCCAGTGTTCCAAAACTTGATCTTGCCTGTGCTCAGCCAATGCAACAAGTAGTCGCGTAGTCTTGGTGAGCGCATCCGCGGTCATGCGCTCTGTGGGTGTGAGGATCATCCATCGAATTTGCGAATGCGCTCGTGCCTCACGATGCGCTAGCGCATAGAGTCTCTGGCTCTTGTCCTGCGGAAGCGTGCGAATGCCGGTGCTGAGCTTGAAGAAGTCTCCTGGGAAGGTCCTGCTTCCCTGTTCCTGAACACGAAGCAGCTGCTGCAGCGGCGTGGGCTTGTGGTCACCACAAGTGATCTCGGTCAGACGCGCACTGATGAATGAGTGTAGCGCGCTCTAGATCGCTGATGGCCGCCAATGTTTCTCCATGGCTAGTGCTATATGATATGCGCTCAGTAGATGAGCTGCTCCAGATAGGTGTCGCGTCATGTGATATTCACACTTCGCATGACAGGTCTGCATGTTGAGGTTGTCCTTCATGAGTGCGATGATCATCCTGGTAGAACTTGCGCTGATGCATCATGAATGCTGCTAGCCGAAGGTGGTTCACGCCGGTAGTAGATCGCCGCCTGGATGTCCTGTTTGGCGCGGTTCACAAGTGCATTGGCTTGGCGTAGGTGCTTGACTTGGCCTTTGCTTTGCGAACTACAGTTCGGCCGTGTGACTGTTGCCCACATAGGTACTGATTCCCTTCGGGTCCAGTAGGTCTCGTCTTTCATGTCCTTGGTCACGTTCACTGGCCTCAGCATCTTGCCTAGCTGATCTGGTCAACGTTAAGAATGCCGTTCTCCATGCTATATCTGCATCCACAGTGTTTCATGGCATCGCTTGCCGAACTTCTTGACCATGAGGTTGTGCGTGCTGTCCAACCATTTCTGGTTGACATGAACTGCCAGGTCGACATGGGTACTGAGGCCCGCTTCATGCCATGTTATCGCTCTCGTGTTCTTGTCCTTCTTCTTTTCGGGCCTCAGCAATGCCATAAACCGGCTTCAGACAAACCTGCATAGGCGTTGAGCATGTGGACCGGGATTTTGAAGGCGTCCAACACGTTTGCCATGACTCCAGGTTGTGCTCCTTCTTACACACGACTGAGGTGAGGATTATGCGCTGGCCTCGGGATCGTAACATCCTCTGGCGCACATACGGGAATTGACAATCCGTTGTGTGGGTGACAGCCTTTTCCACTCGCGAACCCAAACGCCGTCGATCACCGCGCTACGTGCAGGTAGGTCCTCAAGTCTCGCTGCTCGAAATGCGTGTTCGTCCCCGAACTGCGGCATCTGCCTTCTACTCGATCCCGTATCTCGTGCGCTGCTTCTTCAGAGACAGCGATGAGTCGATGCGTGGATCATAGCCGCATCGCTGCATTCTTCTCGGGACCAAGGCTCACTGTCCGCGTCTCTGGTGAATTCCTTTTCGCACGCAGTTCCACCTCCATTAGTTCAGTGGTGTCCATGTGCTGATTTGGTTGTGCCGCTGTCGGTTGGGCCTTGTGTTGTCTGACAGCGGTTTTCCTCCAGTACGTGATCTTTGTCAGGATGCCCATAGAAGTACACGTGGCAGTTCTTCTGATCCATGACATGAGGATCCGCATGCGTGATCATCTTCCGGATGGATTGTCCAAATCGGATACCGTGGCATCTGAAGTCCGCCGCGTAGAGTGCCTGCTTCGGGTCCCGTTGAGGATGTTGCTGCGCTCCTTCTCCGACACGTTCTTGGGCAATACATTCCACTTGCCGTAGCCGTGCGTGTCAATCTTGTGTGGAGTGCAGTTCTCTATCTCAGTCATGATGCGTCAAAGGGCTATCCATGACTTTGCTTCATCCTTCTTTGCTTCCTCCGGATTCTCGCGCTGGTGGTCTTTGATGTGGTACGCGCCGCGAGAAGGTCGCAAACTCCTCATTCGAATGCGGTAAGGTCTTCCGCCATACTCCACCACAGCACTGCCATTGGATTCGTTGATCAGAAGAAGAGCAGGTGCGCGCCAACCGAAAGAAGCCTGATCTTCGCGGTGGAACTCCACTTCACTGACGCCTGCCTTCATTTGACTAAGGTCCAGTTGCTGTGGACGCGTGTGTGCTGCTCTTGCTATGCGACGCTCGATAGTGGCTGCCGTGAGGGCCATTTGACGAAGTCGCAGTGCATGTTCAAAGATGGAGGGCTTGTCTGTTCTGCTCCACTCACCGTTTGAAGCCCCATCATGTGGGGTGAGTAGCCACCAACGTTGAGCGTGGCATTCAGCGCATAGCCTGCTGCCAGTCATCTCCACATCTAGTCCAGTCCGTTCAGCTTCTGCTTGAAGTTTCATCATGGTGATCTTGAGGCTCTGGCGGGTTCACGGCACACGTCCCCCTTCCGTGGCTCATCCAGCATGATTTTTGATCACTGACCAAAGTCCCCACTGGTCCGAAGCTCAATCAGTGGTCGATTTCCACCTTGTCCTGGACGATCACCGTCTTGAACTGCGTGGCCATATCAATGATAAGCAGGAACCAGTCCAACTGAACTTCTTTGTGGAAGCGTGTGACGTGGCTCGTCTGGCCGAGGACTGCGCTTTTCAGGCCCGGTGCATTTCATGATGCACCTGGTCTGTGGACATGAGGACCTGACGAGAAACCACTACGGCGACACCGCACAACACACCAGGACCCCGCGTAGTCATCAGAGATGAATGGACTACACGGGACAGTTCAAGATGATTGAACAGGCAAACGATCCTGCAGGCCATCCGAGGAGCAGAACCCGCAGAAACTCGTCCCATCTCACCACCGATGGTTCAGCTTCCAAAGCTGGCACGCAACAACCAAACGTCTCCTTCTTGGATTACACGAACGGATCTGGCGCGCCAACGTCAATGACCAGATGACTTACGCGAACTGGTGCGCCGTCTACGGCCACTAAGTTGGTGCCAGAGGTGGTTGCGCAATGCAGCATCTGCAGGAACTTCAACAAGCTGCAGAACTAGCTCAAGGTCACGAGTGTGATGCCTGACTGCGATGTTCCGAGCCCTGTCCACGTCCCAGTGGTCTTGGAGCAATCAGCCAATTTTCACAGTATGCCTTCTCCTTCAGCTGCGAATCACTCAAAGTGCAAAGGTCTGCAATCTTGTCCACCTTCCAGAGCTTGACGTCGCCCGTGATGGTCATGCGGTGAGGTGCTGATTCTGTCCTCAAAAATGGCATCTCCGCTTTCCAAAAAGCTGTCGTTCACCAGCTCAGTCGGAAGCAGCTTGAGCGTAAGCACACTGATGGCGCTGAGCTCGACTTCTTCTTGAAGTGTTGCCAAAGGAGAGCTGCTCAAAAGCGCTGGTCCACGGTTATTCGAGAACAAAGACGTTCCCATCAGGCGCCATGAAGAGCATCGCATGCGTTCGTGGGCTTCTAGGATGAAGTTGGCGCTACAAGTCCGCCAGGTTCCAACCGTACCAGTAATCAACCGGCCATGCTACTGCTAGTCCAGCAATTAACGCCGTGAGCGTCAGTCTCCCGGAACCTGAGAAGATCTCCCAGAACTGCACCTTACGCGGCGTCCAGTCTCTTGCAGTCCTCCTGCGCTGCTCGGTATCTCGTGTTGAGCTTCTTGTATTCGTAGTCTGTGAGGTTGTGAGGATAGTGGTCGCCTTCGTAGTATGCGTGTGCCCGCTGATCGGCCATGTCATTGTGATGCTGCTGAAGAACTTGTCGGTACATCGTGAGGCGCTGATGCCTTCGGCGTTGAAGACGTTTCAGAGCTTCCTTCCGTCGTTCTGACATGGAGCGTCGATGTAGCCGTAGACGACTGCACCTCCGTCGACGTCACCCGAATCGCGTGTTGCCGATCCAGTCGTAGTTCTCGCTGACACCGGCGGGTGCATTCTTCCAGTCATCATAGACTTCCAGACTTTGAGCTATTCTCAATGGCACCGTAGATGTTTGCCGCTCATTTTGAAGCATGTTCAAGCTGATGGAGGTAGCTGTGCCGTGTCGGGACTGAAAGGGTAAGGTCTTCGTCTCATCTCTGTGGAGACTCGATGTCCCAAAAATCTTCACGAGCATCACCTTCTTCTCGAGAATCAGCCTCGTGGTTGTTGCTGCTTCCTTGAGTTGTCGGTGACCGCGCCTCTTGTGCATCGTCTTGTGCTGGTATGGCCTGAGGAAGTGTGTGGTTGATCAGATGGCTCTCGTCGACGTTGTTGGTTGCGTCCTCGTATTGACTCCGCTTCTGCTCTGGCTTGTTGCAGCATTGTCCGAAGTAGCAGCCCTGGACGGTGACGTCGTTCCACGTCGACGTAGATGCCTGCTGGATGACCGCCAAGAAGCTTGAAGCTCGTTGCTGCTCCTCCGTGGCAACGCTCACGCTATGCAGGGGGAGCATGTGGTGCGTGCTGATTGGCAAGTACACGGTGAATGAGCAGGCCATGAGTGCAGACTTGCCGTCGTTCAAGAAGGTCGACTGGAAGGCCCCATCCACATCTTCAGATGGCTTAGAGCCGAGGACATCTAAGAACCTGACCTTCTACTTGTGCACAATGGTGAATGAGCAAAACCTTCGACTGCTGGCACACACCACTACGGCGACAACGACAACCACACCGAGGTCTACCACACCATTGGCGGAATTCGCCAAAGAGGCCTGATCATCGATCCTGGTGTGGCGAATGAAACACTGAGGGACCTACCGCGAGGTGGTCAAGGCCATCAAATGGCTCCAACGTCACCACCAGCATCAGTGGGTCAGCTGATCAGACACTTGGCAAAGTGGTGGTGTCGCTACATAGCTGACGCAGTCGAGCGGAAGTGATTGGCGAGAGGTACTGTTGGCTGCATTAGTCGGCAACCCGCCACTCATCGGCATGGGTGCAGTCCTGGCATCGAACTGGTTCGCCAACAAGGACGGCCTACCCATCATCCCGGACAAGGAGAACGAAAGTTACCTGCTTGGTAGTTGAGGATGCAGCGGCAAGTCCTTCTTTGGCGTGCCTCATCTGATTTCAGCAAGGCTGCCAAGGCGTTGTTTGCCAAGGCGTTTTCCATATCCTCCTTTGACAGAAGGTCGCCATTTTCCAAGACCTTTGCCCTTGCCCTTCTTCCTATTTCGGAACTTGCCTTGTTTGGATACTGGGCAATCCGCGGCCATGTGCCATTTACTGCCGCACACATTGATATCCGCTGCCGAAGACACCTTTGCCTTCGCGATGGTGTCCTCATAGTAGTCCCAGTCATCACGCTCCTCATCATACTGCTCGCAGTAGTCCCCGTGCATCTCGTCTGGGTAGTCAACCCATGAGCTATCGCTCCAAGCGGATGTTGTTGAAGCGAGTGATGTCTCCATGGACATGCAGTCGGAGGTCATCTTGATGCCGTTGTGGGAGCATTGACTGCGTCAACTACAAGTACATCTTCGCGACGTTGTTCATCTCCAAATTGGCTTGCCGGAGCTGGAGTCCTTGATTTTGCGGCCTCCGGTAGTCGAAGAAACTCTCGATCTCCTCCGACTCACCAAAGGCGTCCTCAGTGCGTTGCACAGGGCCTGCGCGCCTGACGGGATTGTGTGCTGAAGGATGATGACGCCGTTCATGGGGTCGACCACCTGGTCCACTGAGCCGGACCAACGCAGCGTCACCCTCATCGATGTTGCCATCAGGATCGGGACAGTCGGAGATCCGGTACCAGAGCTTCAGCTTCGCGAAGTAGGGGTACTTGTCCAGGCCTGGTCGCTGGGGGATTCCTTGCTTCCTGTTCTTCCTCTTTGCCTGTTAAGGGATGGCCTGTTCGTCTTGTCGTTCTTCCAACCGAGTGACCTCGGCTGAGCCATAGCCGGAGCCACGCATGGCGCGCGCCCTGGACCGCCCTGCATTGTCTGGTCACCGGGGAGGCCTCCGGACTAGACCGCCGCCACTGCTCAGAGGCAGCACATGAGCAACTTCGTGGTGACTTGCCAAAGATCGGCAGGTTGCGGCCGAAATGGCGGCCGAAATGGCGCTAGGTCGCTAGCCTGCTAGAGCACAGTGGCTCCGCTACCAAAGTTGCAAGAACCTTGTTTTTACTAAGCTGACTCAAGCCGGCTACGGCGGTTGTTGTGGCGTGAAACAATTTGACTCATCCAGTTGTAGCAAACAATGATGTGATCAAGGATGAGCCCTGCGTATGCTTGTTTCAAGACTCTCTGCCAATTTGCTAGGGTAAGCATAGGTGGGCAACACACTTAACAATCCTGCCGCTAAGCAATGTACGCAGCAACCAAGCACACATCTGGCAAGCGAATGGCGCCGCATGTGTGTGTGTGTGTGTGTTTTCCGTCACAGATGATGCTGATGCGCGTTGCCAGAAAGACCATCGCGTGGGCAGGGTGAGACGCGCGGAGCGTGTACGAATCAAGTCTCAGAATTATGAACTTCAGGCGGCAACACTTTCCATTTTGCTTCCTTCTATAGCCATCTTATGGGGTTCACCACTACCCCAGTGCTTCACAGTGTCCAGCTGCATTCGCCCGAAACGCAAGCTTACAAAGGCAAATTCAAGTTTGAACACGGCAGGCAAAGAAGGCAGAGCTGCCAATCGAGTGCTGCTAATGCTGCCGTGAAACCTGCACACATACACACTACATCACACGTCGAACCACGAAACACAACCAGCGCGAAACTGAGGATATCGTGTTTGGAACTTCCCAGGCCCTTTTTGCAAAACAGGGAAAACGTGAAATCAGTGGGCGGTCAGTCAGGCCGGGACGCCTGCAGCGAGAATTGTTGGCCAGTTTGGGCTAGAAGTTGATTGCAAACACCCCAGCCAAACACACCTTGAAAATGCTGAAGTCCGCAGAGCCTGTTTGTTAATGCTGTGTCCCGGTTGTGTGGCTGCTGGACTCAGCTCCTGCACAAGTCTTATTCAAACAGGCATGTCGACCATACTCACCTGAAACACGTGGACTTGGCAACTTGCGGGGTTCAGATTAAAACGACATCGAATCGGAATGATGTCAACCCGGGTGATACCTCACTGCACGCGCCTCGCTCCAGTAACCGCAGATCTGCTGCAAGCAGGGGTGCCGCCCTCCAAGTGAAATGAGGCCCTGCGTGAGTAGCAGCAAGTGTGCCTGTGGCGTTGCTTCGACAAAACCCGGTTCGATCAGCCTTCGTAACTGAACGGGCTCGTAATCAGCTGCCGGGCAACGAATGTCTATTGACGAAATTCACCAAGAATCGCCCTTGTTTGCCTGAGGCTCTGACAAGCGCAATCAAACCACGATGCGTTGCGGCACATGCTGTGCAACAACTCTACTACTAGACGAAATAATTCTCCCTGGCACAACGCGCTGAAGCATGCTGAAGCCAGGGTCTGCACATGGCGACGTAGTGCGCTGCTCTGGACTCGTAGATTGGCTTGGCAGCCTTGTGCCAGTCACGCCGAGAGCATCGCTGCAAAGTTTGGAGGTTTCGGAGGAAGAGGCGCGTGTTGCCGGCTTGTGGTCAAGATCAGCACTCATCCAAAATGCTCTGTGGATTGGGTGCGTTTCCACTGCGTTTGAGCGGGCTTTTGTAAACTGTGGTTGCGCAGGATGAGGCGGCGGGCCTGCTTTTTTGACCGGCTTCTCAGCTTTTGCCGCCCACAAGGGTTGAGCCTGCGACCTTGCAGCCTGCCCCAGGGGCACGTCTTTTTCTCGAGCCACATTTGACCACTCCTCGATGCGCAAGCAGGCACCCGTCTGAGTCCCATCTCTATCAACATCGGAAAGTGTCTGCTTGTGAACGCAGCAAGATGGCAAACCCAGACACTCGGTCACTTCTGGGCTGATTTGGCTTGGCTTGCTCCAAGGCATATGAGCACAAAAAGAAAACCAACTTGAGATAAACCCAATCCATTTCAACAACCTGCAAAAACAGGGGCCGAAGCTCGCTCTCTCTCGGCCTGAGGCAGCTCTGCGAGGCGCTTCAGCGCCTCCTTGGCCACCGTCTCCAGCAACTCCTGCGACTGAGGCCCAAACAATATATATTCTTGTGAATAAAAAACCAGAGAAAATACCAACAATGTAAGACAATCTCAAATACTAAAACATAGATCACAGATCCCAAATACGGGAGACAGCGCCCTGACCCTCGCTGCATTGACAAACAAGCGCCAGCAACCACCGCGCCGCAGCACCTTGAGCGCTAACAGCTCCCTCTCCGACCCGCGAACGCGGGACAAGGAGCTCTGCGCGCTAGCAGCCTGCATCGCAAAACAGGCACTGCCAGCAACCACCATAGCACCTTCAGCGCACCCCAAACAGCACCCAGACCAGCACCTGCAGCAACGAACTCGCAAAACAGGCTGCCCCTCTAGAGAAGTAAGAACCCTTGTGATTCTTCGCCAAAAAGCCCAAACCCACAAAAAGACATTGGCCGCAATTCAGTGAGACCATTTTGACACATTGAACTATCTTGGCATACCTCAAAAGGACTTCTACACCTTCCAAGGCCATTTAATTGTCCGTCATCTCAAACGGACAACCCTGCAAGCTGTCACAAAAAGGACTGCTCAAGCATGTGTCCAACAAGGCGATTTGGCTGCTCAATTCGCGACCATCAGGACCCACTGCGCATTCGCCCAAGATCCTATCAAACCTGACAAGTGCCACCGTGCTAAACATGCGCAGCGTGATCCCTGGCAGCTGTGACACGAAAGAGAGAGAGAGAGAGAGAGATGGGGAGAGAGTTCTGCATTTAATGAACCCGCTCGCGAGGTCACAGGTGCCATCTTCAGTCGCTGGTGGACGCAACACGGGAGAACGATTCATGAGATCTCGGGCACTCATGCAATTGGGCCTTTGTGTGCGGAGGAAATTGCGGGCAACACATTGCGAAACATGAAGCAGTTGGTGTCAGTTTGGATGCAATGCAATTGACTCCGTAAAACGATCCTCAGCCGAGGGATGCTGTACGAAGGGTTCTCGCGTGAAACCGCCTGGGACCATCAAAAGAACCTTACTGCAGCCTGAGAACGAAACCGAAGCCAACAATGCAATGCTGTGCAACCACGGACACTCTACATGCCCTCCAAAGTTCGACTTGCTTGCAACCCACCAAAAACGATGCCTGGAATGCATGCGAATCTCTCACACGTCTTGCATACCTTCGGCGAAAACGCACGAGCCAACTCCACAAAACAAACATCACCCTGCGATGTGAAGCAATGCGACCCGTCTCAAAGAGCACATGCGCCAAAGCCAGCTGAGGCCCCGCCAAAAAGCAACCTAAAATATGGGGACACAAAGAAACAGGACAGGTGAACCAAGTCTTGCGACCTCATTGACTGGGCATCGTAAGTATGCTTCACACAAATGAGCAGTTTTCATGCGGGAGCTGCCATGTCACAATTGTTCAAAAGTTGCACTCACGCCGAGAAAAACCAAAACATCCAAACGCCGCTTGCGTTCGTGCCGCCTTGCCCTCTAGCGCGTGGCTCTTGGCCGCCAAAGCGAGGCGAATGAGCTCCGCCGCCGGCAGCTCCGGCAGGGCGGGCCGCACCTCGAAGCCGAAAATGGCCCAGACCGCCAAGCCGGGAAGCTGTTTATGGGGCAAGGGGCCTTTGTCGCACAGGTGAATACGAGATTCCTTCTACGGGTGAAAGTAGGTGCCACAACTCTCTTCTGCATTACGTTAATATTTCTCATACAAGTGAACCACAAGTCAAAGAGTTTCTTCAATGGGTCTCACGTCGATTCCTCATCTCGGTGCCATAGCCATAGCCCTTTTGCAACTCAGTTCGTTTGGGCATCCTCGCATTCAGCTTGTATCAACAACATCAGCCAAGACAACAAGTGCTTGAGCTGTCGGGGAGGGAGCAAAGCAAGCAAGGGCCCCTTTCCCCTAACTTATCCTTTCTTGTGCCGCTGTGGGATTGAGTGGCCCAAATCCCCCAGCGCCCGCAGGACTCTTGGGCCGAAGTCGCACCAAGCTTGCCACAAGTCCTCCGCCTGCACCTCAATCCGACTGCTGTCTGGGAAGCGCTGCCAGAAGCTGGCTGATGTCAGCGCATCCGGGACGACTTCACAGTTCATACGGCTGAGCGCGTCTGCGTACTCGTTCCGGATTCACTTCCCAGTGCGAAACCGCTAGGTCACATTCCAGCTCCGAGCAAATAAGCGACAATGTCATCATTGCAAAGCTCAACGGTGGCCGGGTGGCCAATACCTTCTCAATGTCTGCGACAACACCCACGTTGTTGCAAAATTGTTTGAGCATAGCCGGAAACGGCACGGGCTGCTGTCTGCTTTTGCCAGCAACGCAAGCTGCGCCAAGAGTTCCAGTGAGGTAATGGCTCGCTCCAGAGCCTCCAGCCACGCCCAGTCTGAACCGGCTGAGTTGCCCGCTTGCTATCCGAAACCAGCCTCCCAAATCGGACAGCGTTCGTAAGGCCCAAAAACTTGAAGAAGCGCAATCAGCAGGGCAATCAAGCGCTGGTATGATTTCCGCGGCAACAAAAACAGGAAATCGTCAACACACACACACACACACACCCGCCCCAGGAGTGCTGCAAGTCATGACCACCAGTAGACTCACCGCGGCTTACCAGGATGCCCCAAACAAATATGATGTCTTCTTCTGGCATTGTCCGCAGAGCTCTCTCGATATCCAAGCTGAACAAGATCCAGAAGCAAGGGGTCCCGCCCAGTCCCTGGCATATCTAATCTACCAACCAACAGCCAGCTGTCAAGTGTTGATATGGGTTTGTCGTTTTGTGAGGGATTTGCGAAAAGGGATGGGCTTTGCTCTGAACCTCCGCGCCCAAGTAGCGCAAGCAATATTCCATAGGAGCAGGGCATCGCTTTTGGGACGCCCCCATCGCTTCCCCCAGCTTTCTTCACTTTTGGAAAGCGGATGTCCGCCGAATACATTCAAAACCTAGATAACACGAGTTTTGACGGTTGTTCATATGTTGGCAGTGCAGCAACAAAAATAGCCAAGTACCCCAATGACACAAACCTGTTCTTACAAAACAACTGGTCCTGGTCTGAAAGATCTCACATAAGATAAACCTTGGGGGCCATTCTTAGAGAGTGTTGTTGCTATTCCTTGCTGAAGCACGCACACTTGGGGATGGTGGGCTCGTGGGCTGGCTTAGGTCCGGGCCAATCTGCAGAGATTCAAAGGGCCTGTGTGCAAGAAGTTCAATCGAGATCGTTTTCCAAGGCCTCTACAGACTGAGCCTTGCTCTTCCTCGCTACGTAAGGTGAGGCGGGTTGCAAGGAGGCACGCAGCGGCTGGGATCAACAGAAGTCTAGATGCCTCGAATCAGGCGGAATGCCTGGATCTGGGAAGGATTTGTAGGCAGGCGCGAAGGGTTTCGATTCTGTTCGGAATGGCTTCGATGGGTGCCGCGGAGCTCAGCGGCTGAGAGGCCCTAGAAGCGCTTCGAGTTTTAGAGGGGAACGAGTCGTACGAGACTTTGCCAACCTCGTCACCGCTTGGATCTTACAATTTTGAGGACATCTCACTCCCCGCTGAAGGCATGCTTCCTGTGCCATTGGCCGCGTTGTGGGGTGACGCAGGCTGGATCAGAGTGGGGTGGCAGTGTGTTGCCAAGATCCAAAGTTCAACAGCGGGTCACTGATTTATCCTTCGTGAGGCTGCACGCGCTCAATCTGTTGGAATACTTTTTGCAGAAGCCCAAGGTGGGGATCTTCTTTGTGAAGAAAAATAATGGACAACTCAGGATGATCTTGGACTGTCCGCGGAGCAACTGCCACTTTTGAGGCAATGCAACTTGCCAAGGCAGAGGCAATGAGTCGAATGCAGTGTGAAGGTCGGGAACGTCGCAGAGTCTCGGACTTAGCGAAGGTGCGTTGGAACTGGACGAGCTTGGGCGGGAAGCTACCGGCGATCCCCGCGCGACATGATTCCGATGGCTTGGTCTTGAAGGCTTCGGGCGATGCGCCCGTCATCGCCCGTCTGTGAGCGAGAGGATCTGCGAGGGTCTGACCGAGAGTGAAAGGGTCTGGGATGCGCACAGCGCCCCTGTCTCAAAACGTTTAGCGCATCAGTACGTGGACAACGTGGGACTTTCCGCGAGGAAGTGGAGCGACTGTTCTGGCTTGCAGTGGAGGCATTGAGAAGTGCTGGGCTCACTGTGCACGTGGAGACAGTGACAGCAAAGTATCGGGTTGAGAGCTTCACCAGAGCGGATTTTTGCGTCTCGACTTTGGCGCAGTAGGGTTGCTTTGAGAGAGCTCTGCTGGCGAGGTGGGTGCAATGGCTTGCAGCTTGAAAGGCTGATCGGGCACATCACATATGTTTCACTTTACCGGAGGGAAGGCTTCTCTTGGGGGTTCGTTACCGCAACTACGTCAAAGTCGTGCTTCTTTGGGAAAGTGTTCGACAGGAGCTGATTGCACCTATGATCTATTGTAAACATTCAATTCCGTGGAATTCAACCCTTCGTCTGCGTGGGACATTGGGGTAACTACTAGGATGGTACACGGAGAGACGGCGGTTCAGACGTGCATGGGCAAGCAATCCCAAGGAAGCTGGTCCAGCTAGAAGACAAGATTTGGGCGGGGGGGAGTGAAGACCAAGGGGCAGTAACAGCAGATCTTTCCGAGCAGTTGGGGTCAAAGCAGTTGACCGCGACTGGCAGGTTGTTGGGCGGCATCAATGGTTGCAGAGCATACCAATTTACGAGGCGCAGTCCACACAAGCTCAGACATGTTTTGCGGGGTGTTCAGAATTTTGGCAAGAGGATCACCATCTTGACAGATTCAATGACTGTTGCGGTTTTGTTTGACAAGGGTCAGATTGAGGCGAGTTCCTGTCGCTTCTCTCTCTCTCTCTCGATATTTAGGACTCGTCGGATGTCAGAGTTGAATGACCGGGCTGTAATGCAGAGCTTCAGCGAATCGACTTTCTGCATTCACGCTGGAAGAGAGGCCGCAGGCACCAGTCATCCAGGGGGACATGTCCCTTGAAACGTCGAGCTGTCAAAAGGTCTGACTGAGCAAAGCCAACTACGCATGCCAAGGGATTGCTGGCCTTACCCTGGCACACCAATCCATGAGGGGCAAAAGTTGTGCCCGTCTTGGACAATGCCGATCGAGGCTGCTTGAGCAAGATGGGGAGGGCTCATCGAGATAGCTCAATGCAATTGGCAGGGCGAGCCCTTCAAGCTGAGAGTGCAAGATGTGGTCATGCCGGTGCAGAAAATGGGCAAGACCTATCAGCACTACTGCTTCTGCATCCAAACAAGGTGGGCATTCTGTCAGAGACCCTGCAGCGGGACGAGATGATGGCTTCCTCACATGAAGTTCCTGGGGCCGGTTTTGACTGAAAGAGGGCCTACTGAAGGTTGCAGTCATAATTTCAGTGGATGTGAACGGTTGGGTAAATGTGCTGCCAATGTTTGTGGATGGCCGGTCTTGTTGTGGTATTTAGTGGGACGGCCTATGACTTGACAGTGAAATCCATCAGCGCATCATTCACTGGATAAGCTGGTCCTACTCCTTGATCCGATTCTGCTTTGGAAACTGGAAGGGCTCCAGCCTCACGTGCCTTTGTTGATCCTCGTGGGCAACCTTCTCATGTACTTGACATGTTCAGTTCCGTGGCCAGCATGGCTTTTTTTGGATCCGTTTACACTCGAAAAATCTCAGAGATCACGCCTTGCAAGACTTTTGAGACCAAGATTCTCATGTCTTTTGATGTGTTTCTGCTTTTTTGGACTCGCTGGAAGAAATGGCTGTCTTTCTGTCTGTCTGTCTGTCTGTCCGCCTGTCTCTGTCTGCGTGTTACAAAGCCCCTGGCCAAGGCTCCTAATCGAGTCGGCATTATTTGCACATTTACACACGCTCCCTCGTTTTGAAAGGCTGCGTCAATGCCCTTTCTAGCTGCCTCATTGCCCAATGCCAACTATGCACTTGCCGAGTGCTTACCGGGGATGATTTCTAAGGGCTTCCTAGCTGCTACCAAGACCAACACCGAGTGCTCAGCGAGTGTTTGGCAAGCGTTGTGTAGTTACTGCAGTGATGGCGTGGTTTCGGGCTCAGCCAATGCTTGGCTCTCCTTTGCGATTGAACAGGTGCTCTCCCACAGTGAAGGAATCCACAACGGATGCTACCGCGTATTCCGCAATAAACTCTAGAACAAATGCACCAGTGTGCCAAATTCACAGGGCAGGAGAGTCCAATATCCTCTCTGGCGCCAGACAATGAATAAAGTTGTCTTACCAGGGCGCCACGTCGGCAGCCTTTTTGAGCAGCTGCGCCCAAACTGGGCCCGGCACCTCTGGCACCTGAGCGGGGGTGGGTGGAGGGGTGGGCGGTGTCCAAGGGGAGGACTTGGTAAAAGGTTTGGGCCAGCGGCACGTTTGCCCTCACAATAATTGGCTTACTCACAGAGTGGAGCGACTGCTTTGAGCTCAGCAAGATTGCTTGCAGAAATGCTCTGCTAACAGCTAAAGCAAGGAAGACTCCTGATCCAGGGTTGGTCAAGAAGTGAACATTGCAAAAGCAAAGAGGCATAAACATTCTTGCGGTGTCTCATCTTGAATTGACCAGGCCGTGGGTCCTCAGCAAGTCTAGCGCAAGGGTTTGTAGCATGCTCCCAGTGGCTCTCCTTCACGAAAGAGAGGGGGGCTCCCGCCAAAGCCAAGTGTTGTCAGTGGGGCTTTAGGGCTGAAGGTTGGGGGTCTAGGTGAGGGTTTTAGGCTTGGGGTTCAGGTTTAGGGTTTAGGGTTTAGGCACGCAGGGCGCTGCAAACGAAAGGCTTTTGCGCGTCATTCAAGTTCAGGCTTGCAGGGCCATGCAATGGCATGAACCATGCAGGTCGGACTCTGGTTTGTTTTATGGCCTCATTGTTGTCAGCTAGTTCTACCTTTCCTAAATTGTTTGTGAGGGGCTGCAACAAAGGCCAAGCAACGGAGCTAACATTTGCACGAATCTGAGAGGGATTGGGGCCAAACCTAGTGCAGCCTGTACCTGAACTGGTTTGGAAGGGTAAACGTCTTTCAACTGACATTGTGGCAGCCGCTGTTCTTGACTGGTTCAAGTTCAACGAGCCATGTGCTTGAACATCCGTGATCAGCAACTCAAATTCAGCACGCGCTGCGACTCTGATTGTAAGTAAGCAATCACCCAGCGCCCAACGTGCCAGCAACAAACACGTTTCCGGACGTTGCAAGCCAGGCGGAAAACTCAACGCCGCCTGGCCCGTGTTCTTGGGCTTCGTCAAGGCCAGCAGCAGGCGCACAGCCTCTAACGCATCCAGGGTCGCCTCAAACCGAAGGTTTCGATCCCCCAAAACTCCTGAACACGTGACCACAATCACTTGCAGGATTTAGACCTCCGCTGGTTTTCAACAGTTTGCCTTGGAGGGAGGAAACTCTATCTATTGTTGTTCAATGGGGCGAGCATGGTGGCTGCGGGAAATATGCTCGGTTGGCTCAGACATTTCAAAGTGACTCCAACGGGCATCAATTCGCTCCAACTGGGCTGAACAAACTGTGGACGACCCTTATAACTTATATCCTGGTATCGATTAGTATCGGTTTTGTTCCTCTGCATCGGTTTGCAGTGCTCTTTGGCAGCTCCGGCTCTCAAGTCGCAACTTTCCAGCACAAGGGTAGTCTACGAAGTACAGTTTGCTCCAGCTCGAAAGTCAGAACTTTTCAGTACAAATGTAGCACGCCATTTTGGCAGCTCCTAGGCAGCTGGCTGCATTCGGCATGACTGCTAATGAGTTGGATATCGGTTGGGCATCGGTTTGGGCGCTGCAATTTCTGACTCCGCAAATCTTCGTTTGCGACAACTTTTTGGGCGTGATGTGTCCCCATGGCTTCTACGGGTATCGGTTTCTTGACCCAGCGTCGGCTCACGGTGTTCCAAGTCTGCAAAGAAAGTTAAGGGACGGGCGCTTAAATAACGAAAAGGTGCGGGGTTTGTTTTCCGACCCAACTGATTCCAACTCACCTTATACATTGAACCCCTCCAGACTAACATGCGTCACGGGTGCTATTGCAAGGCATTCCCCGGTCTCTTGCCAACACGTCCGAAGAGACCGCTGCATTTTGAGAGTTGTCTATTCATGCCGGTTGTTGACTATGACATGATTTTTCGAAACACACCAACTACACAGCCAACAAATCTCTCTAGATACGCACTCTATGGACGCTAATTGAAGCACACAATTGGACTTTGCTCCCAAGAACCAGCAATCCTGCATTTTGGCCTTGGCAACCAAATTCATTTGCACAAAAACAGCCATCGCAGAACAGAGAAGAACTTCCAAACACCTGTAGCGCCATTTCGCTGCATTTGTACCATGGCACTGCCACTGCAGCTTCCACCACCTCAGGGCGGTGGCTAGCGGACGCACAGAGTCACTCTGTAAACCGGCAAGGCTGACAAGGCGCACACACATATAGTCATAGCTCCGCCCCGTGTACGCTCGCACGACTGGTGTGCCCATGGCGTCACAGCAATGCATCCGCAACGTTTGACGTCTTCAAACAAAGGTCAAAGGGCTTTCTCTTCAGGTCCGGGGGAAGGCTCCAGTTCTTTCATTTGGACATAAGCAAGGGACAATTCTTCAGTTGATCGAATGTCAAGGTCAGTAATTCAGAAGCAACAATATCAACAATAACGTGTCATCCAACAGCAATGCCGGTGGCAGTGTCGCAGTTCGGACTCTGCAACCTGGCCTGGATTAAGAGGAGAGTCAAAAGGGTCAACCAAAACGTGGATTCAAGCGGTTAGAACAGGAAATTGAGTAAACGCAGGGCGTCCCATGTCAGCCAAGAAGCCGAGCGGTGCAGCACTTTGGCCACGGCCTCGCTCTTCGTGGCAGCCAGCGCCAGGCCCAGGAGCCGCGGAGCCGGCAGCAGTCCGAGGCCTTGTGGCAGGGGCGGGGCACGCGCCTTCGACGGGTATGTGCTTGAAAATAGGGAGGGGGACCCCGAAATGGTCTGCGGCTTCCTTTTTGGCCTCCCTCTACCCTGAAACTTTGCGGGCGCCAACTGCGCAGTTTTGGCTCTGCGAATTTGTGGGACCCCATGACGGCTGTAGCATGACGCATCATTCAAACTAGGACAAAATCGTGCCAGCAGAAAGGTGGTTCACGGCTCACGCTGTTTTCACGGTGCGCCAGTTTTCCGTAAGATCGTCCTGGACTACAGCAGTGGAGCCGTTCCATTGCTTTGGCCAATGCAAACAAAGGTCAATCCTTTGTTTTAAAGGACGATGACTCGCAGAGATAAAACAAAATGGTTCCCTCGAACTAACACACATTCAAATTTAGGGCAGGTCGCAGCTCGGCGTGCGAAAGCGTAGGGTGACCACTTGAGCCTACAGCTGGTCAATCAGTGGATCACGGGGCCACCCTGTGAACAACTCATGTCGATTGCAAGGTTCCTTCCCGGCAGCTATCGCAGAATATAGAAAGGGTTCTAGGGGCCAGCGTGTTCGCCAGATGCGTCGCTGCGTCCCAAGTCCGCAAGAGTTCGCAAGTGCCCACAAGTCCGCAAGCGGCGGCAAATGTCATCTTGTTTTCGTCGCGCCTGTGCGCGCATCAAAGCCTTTGCAAGGTTGCGTGCGATTTCGCTGCGCAGGCGCGGTGTCTTGGACGGGTACACGTTTTATGTCGCCGTGCCATTGTGATTTGCGACTCGAAGGCGATCGTTTTCGGGTCTCCTGCCTGACAGGCGCGCGCGAGTGGGATAGACTTGTACATAGCTTCGAAGAGGTTTTAATAAAACACCAGATAGGAGGGATAGGCGGGTGGGCAACAAGGTGGCTAGATAAGTTGACTGATTAACAAACGGATAGATATAGATAGACAGATCGAAATAGACGGCAGGAACAAATATTCTGATAATCTTTCGCGACTCCATCACCACACCCTTTTGCTTCCAGCGCACTCTGGCACCAGTGGTTTTGCTGCTACACCTGCAGCAGGCTTGCAGCAGCCAACGTTTTACTTTGCGCCAGTACCAGCACGGGCAGGGCATCAAGGACACAAGTAAAGGTGCTGCGCGTCTCCCTGTCTACAAGGGGGAGGGCTGCAATGATGTAAGCGTACAAGCATGCCTCCAACAAGCTTTCGCTAAGTCTCCCGCGAGAAAACTATTATTCTCTTTCGCAGGCTCCTTCGCGGATCTTTCGCCGCCTGCAGCGCTTTGGTCCTCCACAATATAAGTCCTTACAAGGACCTTTCGAGAAGCTTTCAGGTGCGCAACACAAGCAGCACAATGTTGCCAACAACACCCACAAGCAGGCTGGCCAACCCTACACGCTTTGCATTCCCGGGCGCCTTTGACTGGTTGCCACACTGGCCAGGCCAGCCAGCTGGCCACAAAACCGGCCAGAACCTGCGTCGCGTTTTACCCAAAAGGCGGACGACATCCATCAGCAAGCCAGTAGGGTTGACTTGCAGGGCAGGATTGAACGCTCCCCAGCGACATGTGAAGAAGAAAGCGAGATGAATCGAAAGCAACGAACGCCCAAAGACTGTAGCATATGCAGGCAGCCAAGCCCGCCAATGCCCGCGCGTCGGCATCTGCAAACGCATGTGCTGCGAGAAGTGGCGCCGCCTCTCGCAACAGCAGAGGAATCACCGAGTGCCGCTGATTGCAATCAAAAAACGCACAGCCAATCAGGCTGCACTTGACATGCGGTGTTTTCAGAGGTGCTCATCATTGACAGAGCACACCAGGCTAGCTGTTTGCAAAACCCGGCTGAGCTGAACGTCGCCCAGACTGCTTGCTGCGTTTGTACATCCCCCGTGTAGCAAATCAGCAGCCCGACGCAATGCTCAAGCAGCTTCCGGTCAAAGGCCCAAGTAGCTTGAAAAGCTTTTCCCGCTTCTTTGCCGGCAAAAAAGCAGAGCCGCAATGAGCCGCGCACCTGAAGTCCCAGTTGATCCACTGCAACTCGTCCAACTCAAAGGAACCCCCAAAGCCACAAGGAACGTAAGCGCGGTGCACGCCGCAGCAAGGGCCACTGCTGCAGGCAACAGAAGGCCGTCATCGCAGTACACAAGCAGGCTGCGGGAAATCCACACAAAACGATGGAGCCTCCGGGTCAGAAAAGCGCCCACGCGCGAGAGCCAATATGCGCTCCACTTGCCCCCGAAGAGACAAGTGCGATAACGTACCAGGCATCGTTGATGATGAAGCAACTGTACTGCAGCCCTGGTCCTCCGGCCGAATGTCAAATGACAGGGCGCAAAATTCCGTAGAGCCCGGCGTTAAGCTCATGAATCTTTACACGGACTATGCTGGAAAGGAGAACCTTCCCGCTAACGTAGCACTGCCCATTAGGATCAAGCGAAGCTTGTTGCCCAGAATTGTGACCACACCCAGCTTCCCAGCAGCTAGCCTGTTGCCCCATCTTGCACGAGCCTCAGCCTCAAGATCCAACAGCTCTTGAGTGAGCTTAGGGTCCGAGCAAGCAGATGACCAAGGAAAGGTATGGACCGAGATCGAAAGACTGAGAGATGAGAGAGACAGAGAGAGATAGTTTGATAGAGCAGAGAAACAGTTAGCTAGATAGATGGGTAGCCAGACAGACAGACAGACAGACAGACAGACAGACAGGCAGGCAGGCAGGCAGGCAGGCAGGCAGGCAGGCAGCAGACGACAGATAGACAGACAGACAGATAGGAGAGATAGGTAGATAGATAAAATGATGGAATGATCGAGAGATAGAGAGATCGATTGGTTGGATTAGGGTAGATCATTTTAGAATACATTGATAGATGGATAGATAGGAGAGATACATGGATAGGCGGTAGGAAGACAAATAGATGGATTGGTAGATAGATAGATGGATAGATAGACAAATATATGGATTAGACTAGGTTAAATTCACTTAGCTTAGAACAGATGGATTGATAGATTAGATTAGATCCAAACAGATTAGTTAGATAGATAGATAGATAGATGGATAGATGGATAGATGGATAGATGGATAGATAGATAGATAGATAGATAGATAGATAGATAGATAAATAGAGAAATAGATAAATTAGATGGATCGATAGATAGACAGGCAGACAGACAGATAGACAGACAGACAGATAGACAGACAGACAGGCAGCTGACACATAGATAGGCGGATACATGGAAGCACAATCGACTCATGGATGAATAAGCAGGCAAATAGATAGATAGGAAAACTCAGGGCAGCTTTGGGCAATTAATCTGCATTCGGGTTTGCGGCTTCTATCAGGATCCGTGTGTTCTCTCTGAATTCCTGGGCTGATTTCGCGTTGCTCCTCTCTTCCATCTTCAGTTTGGGGTTGGCTGAATCGTCTGATTGATGCCTTTGACTCTCCACAGTCTGCTTCTTTAAGCATTCGAAGAAACGCTGAAGAAACGCAATGCACAAGCCAGAAGTGCCCTAGCATTTCAGGAAACGCTGAAAACAACCGTCCGCAGAATTCATGCCCCAATCGACGATTCCAGCCTCCCAGGTGACCGCAGGCCTCCACTAACTCTGGACCTGTGGAGTCGAAAGCCGACGGATTCTCGTACAGATTGACAACGGCGTCGCTGAAATTTTGGATCATTCATGCGCTCAGAGGTGCAGAGATGCACTTGCTTTGAGAGATAAAACGTCAAGTGACATGGAAGAGTTGCAGGAAATGTCCAGCAAGGCAGGATCAAAGGTACTGGAAATCCTTTGCAAGAAACAAAGTGTAATGAAAAACGCAGAACCCCTTACCTTACTGGGCTGCTGATCCATCAGTCTGTACATTTTCCGACTACCTGTTGTCGACAGCGGTTTCAATCTCTGCTTTGATCACATACCGAAGCCGAAACCTATGCCTCGGGCTCGCAGGAGTCCACCAGCACAGTATTTGGGACCAGAGTGTAGAATCCGGCGAGCAATTGAAATCCATTGCTGGTGCCTGATTTTTCAAGGTTCTGATGTGCCATTCAGAATCCATGTTGCACGTGGCATGTGTTAAAAGCACAGAAACAAAGAAGGATCAGCGTAATTTGTGATCATGAGCTTCAATAGTTGAGCAAGCTTGCCTTGCCACCTGTGCTGCTTAAGTATCAAGGAATCAAGGAGTTCTCCTTCCTCAGACACCGCAAGACACATCCTCAGCATGAGCATGGGTAAGACTGCTTTGTCCCTCAGCATCCATCCTGCCACATGCCGTGGACAAACGCAACGAGGAATGACACGTCTGACACAAGCCACAGTAACTAGAACCTGCAAAGCAATCTATGTTGCTCAAACTCACGGGGAATCACGTAAAGCATAGCTGCACTGGCTGCGCCGCTTTGCCAAATCGGGTCACTTCGAACATCTCGAACATCTTCGATCATCTTCGAACAAATGAAGCACCCCGAGCCCTTGTATTTGGTGGCAAGCGGTGCGCCTTCGAAGCCCTTCTCACCGATAGCGGCCACTGCCGAGGCCAGCTCCTGCGGGCTGTATGCGGCCTGGCTTTTGATGAAACTCAGCCAAGGGCGCCCACTCCAAAACGAGATTTCATGGGTTTGGGGCGTCCTTTGAGCCATGGGCGGCACAAGGCAGGTCTTTGGTCTCATACTCAGCTTTGGGGGAGGACTTGAGGCTGAAGTGGCTGGACCTCTAAGTTCTCAAGCTTTGGCTTTGACCGGACTGAAGTTCTGCTGCCCACGCGCAATCTGCCTACTGTCCGGCCTAGTTGTGATGTGTCCCCGACTCGCGAGGGGCTCTCACTAGACTTGGCAAAAGACCGTTGGACTAGGACGACCCTCTCAAAATCTGACGCTTTCTTTGACGCCAAACAACTCTTTGAATCCTGAGCACAAGGAGTTGCAACTCCAAGCTGTTTGCTCGACATTTTGGTATGTTCTTGTTTGGGTTCCATAGAACAATGCGAGGCCGAGTCCTCCGCTTTCAGTACGGGCCCGCGCTGACCAAGAAGGGCAGCACAGCTGTCCAAAAGCAAGCCTCAGCTGCAATGTGAGCTGGCAACCCATTTTGCCCATGTCTCCGACGGATCTCAACTCTTTTCATACATAAGTTCGCCCAAGACTTGGCGTCGGTCACAAGTTGGTGGCTATTTCGCTGCACGTGGTTTTTGTTGCTTCTTGTTTAATATGATTGCCCCTTCATGTGGTCCATGATGAAGCCCTTTGCTTGGCAAACGTTTCATTGGCGGTAAGTGGCGCAGAGTCTCAAGCATAACCTGCAAGACCATTCCATCTGGTTGAAACGACATCAAAAGAACTTGTTGTCTGGTGCTGCCGATGCCGTCAGGGCATCTGCCGTCTACCCAGATGTGCTCGGATGCGGATGTCTGCAGCTGGCCTGTGTCCATGACGCTCAAAACCACTCGGAGCCTACCCCAAAGCTTCCCCGCAAACCCCAGAGTCGTAGAGGCTTCCCAGGTTTGAGAGGGCAGAGGCGTCCTGGGTTTTCTCTGAGGTCGATTCTCGAGTTGTCAGCTCGCTCGGCCAGGGACCCAGCCGCTATGCGCCAGTGCGAGCACAACGCTGGTCACCGCACTGCCGGAGGCACCAAAGCCGCCTGGCGTTGAGAATCACATCTGTCAGCGTGTACGTCAAATCTAATCGTTAAACCCCGTTGGATGTCAAAGGGTTATTGCAAACATGTATTGTTTTTGTGACCTTCAGGAAGGCCCTGTGTAAGATCGCTCTTAGGACAAGGAGCGGCTGGGTTTCGCAACCATTGGGGTCGTGAACAGAATCATGCCATGCAAGCCAAAGATCTAACATTTTACATGTTACATGGACGGCTTTACGGATCCCTGGCTTGTACGTTTCCAGCCATGTCTTAGATTTAGGGTTTGGCTTTGTTGGTTCAAGAATCAGGTTTGGCTTTACAAGGTGTTTGCGCTACTTCACTCCAGAACCTGCATTGCCGTGTTCTTCTATTTGTTTCACTCTTGCGAATGGTAATGTCAATGCTTGCTGGACCCCAATACTCCTGGCATCATCTGATTGAAAGCACAGACATGCGAGGCCCCAACCAGCGCGGTAAGATCCAAGTGATCACGGAAGTGAGACCGAGGCCCGGACTAACCTTCTGAAGCGCCAAGTGCCCTACCTGCGTGGCATCGAACGAGGCGAACGTTGAAATGCAGAGCTGTAATCTGTTCAGGTAAAGCTATGAACATTTGGACATGTAAGAAACAAACAATGAATTACACAAATACGCCGTGGGCCAATGTTGTGTGGATCATGAAGGTAACACATGGCGGCCAGGACACACCGGATTGCATAGCTGACAGGTGAACAGGCCCATGAGCAAAAAATAAGCCATGACACGCTCTCAAGGGCTTCCAGGAGTCTTGGTCTGGCCATAGCGGTCTCAAACAATGCCATTTCCTCTGCATCCTTTGTGCCTTGGAAAAAGTGCTGGTGCTTCTGATCCAGCCAGCATGAAAAAAACACAGGTCCAAGCAAGCATGGTGTGCCGCAAGAAGTATGCTCAAATATGCTCAACATGTTTTGAGGCTCAAACACATGAGGTTTGGCTACATGAGTTGCTGGCCGCTATGGTTCGTAGCCCGTACGGTGAAAGACGTCCGTGGCTTTCTAAAAGCTGAGAGACCTGGATGAATTGAAGCGCGCATTTGAACAAATCGGACCAGCAAACCGCCAAGCCACACATCGCATCTTAGACTCCATCCTAAGCTCGGCTGGCAGATTTCACTCCAAATGCCCATGCCTCTCGAGCAAGAGGCGTAGCACTGGAGGCGGCGGCAGAGACCAACTCTAAGATCTTCTCGAGCGGTGCCTGGCCAAATGCAGTCGTTCTGCCACAGGACAGCCCACAAAGGATGTGAGAGATACGACTCACGTATCTGACTTACATAATTCAGAACAAACATGTATTTTGTTTGATCAGGACACGGGAGAAGGCGATTTGCTTATTTGCTTGCAAATTGGAGCTAAGAGTCAAATAAACATAGCCCGTATTGAGAAGTATCAAGAGCCCGCATCCAACTCTGGATCTTTACCCATCATAAGGCTCTACAGAACCTGCTTTTGATCACTGCATTTTGAAGCAGTAAGTTACGGCACAAGACAAATGATCAATGGCACACTGCAACATTTGCTGGCGCATCAACGAAGGAACGCCTGAATCTGAGACAGCTGACTTGGTTAGGAGATCTGGGAACTGAAGAGAACAACAGCGTACGAGGCTTGTGGGTGAGGGCTTGCTCAAGGTGGTTCGATTGCTGGCTTGGGTTCATTCAGGATTGGCTAACATTGGGCTTCGAGGTTGATGATGGATGGGTTTGGGTTGTCTGGGGGCGGGCTGGTTTGTCTTGGAGTTGAGTTCATGCTTTGCCGTGGTTTAGGGCTTGGCTTAGGGGTGCGGTGGATCGAGTTTTGGGCTGGTAACAACGCCCCGAACCTACCAACAGCAGCCCAAGGTCGGCCCTTAGCCGAACCTAAAGGAATCCAATTCAACCTAAGACCAACGAAGACAACGACACGTTGCTCACCTACAACACATGTCCAAGCTACTTCATGCCAGGAAACCAACAGACCAACCGACGCCACCGCCTCGGAACTCTGGGAAAAAGGCTCTCATTCCTACGATGGCTAGCTGGGCATGTGCTGCGGCTTGCCAGATTCCCAAATGTTCGACGAAGCAAGCAGAATCAGGCGGCTTTGACTCTTCAAGACACCCATGAAATGTAGTAGCCCCTTGCAGCCATGCCCACACTACCTCCGCCAAGTCAACCAAGGTATCAGCATCAGTCCAAAACAAACACAATTCCCACACCGCCGCCCTCAAACGGGCGACGCCCGATCGACAGGCTGCCTCGGAGAGCGGTGGAGACGTGATCCTGACAAGGTTTGCGCGAATTAAAACATCAAGACCCGGGGCGAACTCCGATGAATTGGCTCAATTTGTGACAGGCATGCTGCACGCAACATAAGCGCAGCACAAGTTCTTGCTACTGGCACTCGTAATTCCCAGAACATGGCTGCACAATTGACACTTAAGAGATCTTCTCTGAGTTAAGCAAAGGTTCCATGCGACTTGGCGGGCTAAAATGAGGAAAATAACACGCTGCCCCTAGCATCTCCCGGCCAAGGCCGGCTAGTCACGCTGAAAACCTGAACTCCTAAAATTGTATTTGAGGTCGGCCTTTGGCCCGTGACTTTACACAATTATTTGCAACCAACTCTCCCGCGGCAGTTACCCATTCTGAATTCTTGCTTGCCTAGCTGGGGCACTAAGGAGCAGCATGGACGTATGACCTTCTTGCCAAACGATATGGGGGATGGAGTTGTCCATTCTTGGCGTGTCAATCTGGCCTGGGTTTGGCTTACCCCAAACCCTAAAGCCTTCGGTGAGTAACTTCGGTTTTCCGCTTTACGTTCCTTTTGACGTTCTCCGCTTCCGTCGTTTGCCGAGCATTGTCTGAGTCAAAGTATGTTGGGATCACAAGAGCAATACATCAGACTCCACTATTGAGCAGGTCTCCCTCGTTCAACGTACGCCAATCGGGGCGGCTATCTCGGAGAATCTTGAGTCGCGGGGCCGGGACAAAGCGAGACTCCTAATGTTGACTTTTCTAGCATTCTGCTTGGGAGCCCTGTGCGCAATTCTGTCTGGCTTGCCGACAATGCCACAGCTTGCACAGTTGCGACTGGTGTTTCGCCGCTACCTGGACCAACGCCCATATTCTGAAGCCATACCATGTTAAGCCCAAGCACCAAAGACCTAAAGTCACTCTTGCGTTCTGTGTGCAGTGTCCCACTGTTTGCCGGGCGGAGCCCACCATGTTGGATCGCCCATGTCACTGGTCAGTGCCTGGAGGTTGCAGTTGACAAGAATTGGGAAACCCAGAGGGTGCTAGCGGACAGTGCTTTGAACATTTAAAACCAACTGCCGCTGAGGTTGAGGTTGAGGTCTTGTCTAGGGTCAACTGACTGTAGGGCTTGGGGCTTTGGTGATCCGGAAAAAAAACATTCTTTGCCAGCACAAAGTCAGCATGCGCAACACCTAAAGCCTAAAACAGCGCCCGGCGCCCGCACAGATTCCTTTGGCACTGAAAAGTCAGCACCTGCAACGTGTGCCTTTTGCAAGTCGCGCCCCACCAACACCTGCAGCACCTGTCAACAGCATGCCTGTCAGCTCCCAAGAGCCCAGTCTTTATGCTCGGGAGAAAAGGAGTTTCCGGCAGCAAAAACACTGGACAATCAATCCTTGCAAAACTCAAAAGGCGGCAAACAAACATGTATGTGCAAATTAATGTGTATATATATATATATACACAACCCTACAATTCCTACTGTCGCTTTGTCATGTCTTAAACACATGTAAGCCTGCTTGTTTCTTCCTTTTTTCTGACGTCGCCCAGGCTCCACCATGCTCCACTTCCTGGAGCAGCCAGGGCTCAATGGAATTCGTCAAGGGTCTGATCCCCGACCCGAATCGAAACCAGAACCATGCGGTCAATGCGGTCAGTCCTTGCCAGGGAGTCGCACGAGGACATGCCCGGGAGGCTGAGAATGACCTTGAGGTCTTCTAACTTCACCTCAGCTTGAGTTGAGGCGAGCGATTGAAGGCCGTCCATCGTGTTGAATGTGGCCACAAGGACCACTGCCTCAAGGGAGACACGATTTCTTTACGCCTTCCAGTTTCCGAGGTGGACATTGGCCTGGGTCGGCCTGCGTTGCTGGTTGGATTGAGAGTTGTTCACAGAGTGGGACATGTGCTTGAGAGTCAACCGGGGGTTGTGCAAAATTACGTCTCCTGAAAACAGCCCTTCCGCCGCCCTCCCAGGAACATCTACAAGCAAGTTACGGCTGGTTTCCTGTCCAGGCTTTCGGTTGTTGAAACCTGGCGAAAGACGCAGCCACCTTTTTTGAGAGGTCGGGAGACTTCCGAGCTGGAGCCAGATACATCAGACAAGGACATGGACGCAGTCGCTTTGGGGAAGACTATGGTGAGGGGGCAAAGAGGGAACGGGCTGCCTGGACAAACTCGTCTTCCGTGTCTCTTCGGCGAAAAATCCGCGTGACTTCCGCAAAGTTCCTCGTTTGTTTTTGTTACTTTTCTGTTGGCTTGCTTTCTAAGCAAACAAAGGGAACAGTGCTTGCGGCTGCGTCTCCCGCTGCTTGGTCCACTGTTTCAATCCATACACAAATGTCAACAGCCCTGCCCCTTCCGCACCTCTTGCATCGCCCTTCCGCGTCTCTTCTGCGCACACAGTGGGACACTCATGCCGCGTCAGCCTGGAAATTTGGAATACTAAACCGGATACATGGGTTTCAGCACGACGCTCATCACTAAGTGGAGGGCTTCTGGAAGGCTAAAGCGGTGAGTTGAGGTTTCCTAACATCTGGTCATGTCAATCCATATTCTTATTGGAGCCTGAGGACAAAATTGTTTTGACTTGCAGTTTATTCTTGGCCAGGTGGTGTTCGAAGGCTGGGCCCCCTAAAGGTCAAAGACATCAACAAGCTAAGTGAAAGCGACATACAACCGGCAACCGCAAGAGACAAAGGCCATGTTACTCCCTCCAACCGGCCCTGAAAACCACATAAAACAACACAAAAGCAAGCCTCACCTACTTTGTTGAGAAGTGTGGCTCCGGGCGAAGCAAGTGCAGCCACAAACATCTTCTCACCTCTTTGAGAACAAGCTTGTACAGAAGATGCTCAGGAAACTTTATATAGGAAGCTACTAAAACACCCGCGTGGAGTGGAACATCCAGAGCCCAAGGCACCACGTCCGCCAGCTGACCCGACTCCGTGGCTTTGGCGCGAGCAAGGACCTGAGGCAACCAATGCGCAGAACTCTGGCATCCTAAGGCCAAAAGCCCTCAATTTCGTGCCGAGATGTGCCAACAAGGGTCCGTGATCCCATACAGGCGGCAAATGTTTCACGATGTCACTAGCAACACAGAGGTGCTCAGGCATTGCGCTTGCATGTTTGGCACAGTCTCAATAGGTTGATCGCATCATATCAACCGTCAAGGAGGTTTTTCCCAATGCGTAGCAGAAGGGTTCCCGTTTAGAGGTCGGGGGTCTGGGAATTAGGACGTGACCGGGAGTCGTTGACTTTACGTCCTCAAGCGTTCGTATGTGTTCGCAAGCGTTGCGTTCGTATGTGTTCGCGAGTGTTGGGTTCGCAGCTCCAGTGGGGAAAGCGAAAAACGTGCCATTTAGATGACTTGAAGCGTGTCATTTTTCGTTCCCCTGTGCGGGAATCGTAGCTCTTAGCATGTCAGACGTAGTTTTGCTGCGCAGGCGCAGTGTTTTGGAAGGCTGCGTGTTCTCGTTGCCGTGCCAGTGGGATTTGCGATGCAGGGGTGGTCGCTGTGACGTGTCCTGCTTGGCAGGCGCGTGATAGTGTTTGCGCCGGCGCCGTTTTCGTTGGCCCTGTCGTGCAATCGGCTCGTTTTGGCGAGCCTGCAGCGTGTCAAAATTGGTCGAAATCATTCTGGCGCCACAGTCCCGTGCTAGTTTTCGATGCGTGTCGTAAACGTGTCAAAGTTGGATTTCGTGGCAAGTCCAGCAGTTTGGATGAGTTTGAGTTTGTGGCAAGCTTGCTTTGCGTGACAGGCGCAGCACTTTCGAGCGTTTTGGTTGAATTTCGTGGCAGGCGCAGTACTTTGGCACCTGGGTGTAGATTTCGTGGCAGGCACGTCACTTTGACTCAGCGAGATCGTTCTCGCTGTGGCACGGTGCGCATTTTGAGCATGCGAACCCAGAGAGCCCAAAACTCCTTAAATAGAAACATTGCTTAAATAAGGTTTGCTTATTTAAGGAGTTTTTTTTCTTAAAAAACATTGCTTAAATAAGGTGCTTTTTTCCTCCTTCGAAGGAGGCATGGGAAAGCACATAAGTCACTATCCTCAGGAGACAGACATTCTGCTTAAGCAATCAGCTTTTGCAAACATCCTCAAGCAAGCTCCCATTGTGGGACCTTGTTCTGGGCACAAAATTTGGACAGAACATTTCCAGAGAGAGAGAAAGGTGTATTGACACCTCCTCTTCTTTTGGAAGAAGCTGATAAGCTTCCCCCAGAATCCTCGTCTCTATATACCCAGCAGAGTGCAGGATTGACTTGGTCAAATTCTGCAAGCTCCTGCATCAAATGGAATTTTGGTTTGAATCTCCAAGCACACATCCCAGCTTGTGTGGCTTGCTGTTCAAGGGCTACATAAAGCAACAAACACTTCCTGCAGGATGTTTTGAGCAGTTCTTTGCCCCACCTTTCCCTGCTAAGACAGGAATAGCACTGGCTGAGCAGGTGAGCATCTTCATGCGCTGTTGACTCATAGCTGTCTTGGGCTTTGAGCAGCTTCTCTGCAATCTCTACAGCCCAACAGACCAGTTTTCTTGATCATCAATGGTGTTAAATGATCTAGCCTGTTGCTGGAAGGAACCCTCCTGTAAAAAGACAAGATGTTTCTATGCATAGCTGCTGCTTGCCCTTTGGGAGTGGAGCCAGGGAACCTGTTTAAAAGCAGCTGCATCAGGCTTTCTATGAGGTCCGAGGCCACTCCAAGATCCACACAATGAAGCCAGTCGATGACAAAGGCGTCCAAAGAAATGCCAGGCAAACTAAACAAAGGTGAGATTCTGGAAGCGTGAGCAAGATGCTCCCAGAAGGTTTTTCTCTTACTTCTCCAGGATGCTGTGGTTCTTCTCCATCAAAGCCTTTGAGAGGAAACTTGCCTGCCAGCAAGCATCTGAAGGACCAGGCAACAACTTCCAATATGTCATCCATAGTAGAAAAGCAATTCTCTTGGCACATGTGCTTCTTGTTGATGTTGGCACCCTCAATCTTTTGAATTTGTCTTGGCTTTGGCCAGGCAAATTCAGAATATACAACAGTGTCTCACTTCTGTCCCATTTGACTGAGGCACCATCCACCCAGAAGCCCAATGGTATAGTGTTGTCAGCAAGCAGGCAATGAAAAAATCAGTGTTCAAGAATGTTTGAAGCTGACCCAGCTGCACAGGCTCCTACAAAGGAGTAACACAGGCTCGTCCAAAGGAGTACCACAAGCTCCTCCAAAGGAGCAACACAGGCTGTGGCCCCAAACACAAGCACCAATCCAAGGTGCTTTGCCAAATTCTCAGTGTGCAGCCTTTGGGCCAGGTCTGTAAGACCAGAGCAGTCATAAATGTTCTTGGCTAACTTGTTCCAGTGCACAAAACTAAGCATTTCCTTTTAGCAACTTCCTCAGGTCTGTCTGGGAAAGCAAGGTCGCTGACATTCTCAGTATTGGCTGCAGCTGCATCCCTGAACAAGCTTGTAGTTCTTAAGGCTGACACCCCTCCAGCCAGGAAGAGGTCAGCCAAATTATTCCTGAACCTTGTATTCGGCTCTTGCTCAGTCCTTGTTTCCAAGAACTTGTTCTTGGCATGCATCGACATGGTGATTCTATAGATTAGATACACATTGAGCCAGGCAAGCACATATAAACAACCCTGCAGCACCGCGAGCAAACATAATGTCCAAGAGCAAAACTAAGCCGACACCTGCCATGTTGGATCATGTTGCCTTTGGCAACTTCAAAAAAATCAAGGCCAAGCCCAATGCAGAAGTGCTGGAAGAGTTGTGTAGCAAAGGGTCATTGGCAACAATGGCCAGGAATGTGTCGGCATTGGCTTTCCAATCACAACTGATCAGTTTATGTTGCCTTATGCAGCCAGGTGTCTTCCATGATGTGTTGCAAAATCCGTGGCTCAGTAGGAAAAAGGCACAACCCTGCAGCTCCAGGGCTCTTGTAGATCCTCACCCATTCCCCTTCCACCTTCTTCAGGACATAGATCCATTCACTGGCGTCCAAAGATTATAGCGCTGCTGCATGGCACTTATAGGCCCTGTACCTTTCAACGCTAGAAGCCATACTCTTTGAAAAGGTTCTTCAACCTCTTGGAGACAGCTTTCAAGCCGGGTGCTGGCCACCCGAATTAAATGCTTCTTGGGAATGCAGCTCGGTAGCTCGGTAACATCTTTAATGTCCCCGGGTATAGGCATATTCTTAGCCTTTGCCAGAGCAACCCTGACCCCTTCAAGGAACGCCTCCCCTTGTTTCACACAACCAGAGACTTGGGCAGGGATGTCTACCCGGTCAGGTTTGCTGATGGCAGTCAAGTCTTTCAGGAGTGACCCTGCACCAGCCACTTCCTTCTCCAACTTGCTTTTCAAGCTAGTGGAACCCCCACAGCCTGCATCAGTTTCACATGCTCAGGGTTCTCAATCTTGATAGAAGGGGCTGTTCAACTGGAGCATGAGGGTCAGCCGCATCAATCGCTTTAGGTGGAGCGTGAGGGGCCAAGCAACATGGCCCGTGGGCCTTGAAGGCCCGAAGCCTTCCTCATCAACTCTCCCACCAGCAGGATTGTCCACCACCCTCAGATGATCTTAGCGGATCTTCCGGCAATACACTTCCACGCCCCGTTTTCGAGCAACAGCCTCACCAACTACTTTTCACTAACCTGGCTGTACACGAATCAAGCAAAAGCGCTCAGCATTATCAGACGGATCGCCGGGCAAGAGGCTCCTGTAGTGGGAGAAACAGTTGGCATATTCATAGCAGCTGCCAATGCTCAAGCATCTGCGCCTTGCTCTTGTGTTTGTGGGGTTGGGAATCGGTACAACATCACTTTTTGAGCACAGCGCTGCAAGGGGATACGCTTTCTGCAACGGGCCACGGTGCTTGGCCATCTTTCAATCTTATGTGGGGTGTGAGCATTTCTCGTGTTGATTCGCGAGTCCACACTCGCATTACATACAGACACACACACAAACACTGGATAGATTACACGCAAGAGATACATAGGAATGACCGGGAATGACTGCTGGGCTCTTTGGTGAAGCTCTGCAGTAGTGAGAACTTACTTATTAACATTCTTTTGTTGCTTCTTGCTTGCTCGTCTGCAAGGCAGCAAGTGGTCCACTCGAATGTTGGAGCTGAGTTGATGCGCAGTAGTGCGATTGACAAACATCATCAAGGCACAAAAATGGTCGTTCAAGATGTCAGCTCTTGCAACAAGCCTTCTGCATCTGGTTCTGAGTCCTCGGCACAGCGACATGCTGATAAGGGAATCGTGTTGTCCGTCATTGGCCCAACAGCCGTGTCAGGCAATGCGCTTCTTCCACAGAAACTGCAAGAGAAAGTCCAACTTTCTGACATCCTTAAATGCGGGGGTTTACCTTTTTGGTAGATCAACATAAATCAAGTCCATGAAAAGGGAGCCATAACGAAACCAAACGTGGAGCTCTGGCTTCAGGCCTCCCATCGTCCATGCCGTCACCAAGCGCTGCCTCAAGCTATATGGCCTGGGCTGATGTCTGAAGACTCTCAGCGCATATATCCACTGTCATCTTTGGGACTGCATCAATCCATGCTTCATGATGATGGATAAACAAACTAGCGGGGATATGGTGCAAGCGGGATGTTCTTGAACCCCCTTGACACCCTTTCTTTCCCTTCATCTTAGGGGGGACATTGACATCAGCAGAAACCTGCGTGTTCAGCTGGGTCCACGTTGTGAAGCAGGTAGCGCTCACTCAACTCGGTCCTCAGGCAAGGCGCCAGGATTTCCCCCTTCAGCATGAAGCCCTTGAGAGTAGCATCTTGTGAGGTTGTGGAATCTCTGTTGGATTCCACATATTGGGCCACCCAATGCAAGATCTTGGCACCACCCTCAGCCTTGTCCTTGTTGATACAGTCCTTTGTGCTCATGGGGCTGGCCTTGTTGTACACCTGTCAGGGTGAATGCAACTATGTGTAAACCCACATCGCTCTTGAATT